AAAACCTAAACCAACTCACTGCTCTTGTTGTAATCAATTCATTATATAACATAAGATGAATGACACCTACCTGAATCAAGAATTTTTAACCTACCCATGCCTTGTTCTTAGAATTTCTAGCAAATATTTCCAAATCTGAGATCCTGAAACTGTTTTGTATTGTTATCTAGAGGTAGCAACATCATAATTAGTTTTTAAGACTACCTTGGTTGCATTCTGAATTATATCACTTCAGCCCCATCCCTAACTGTAGCCTAAATATCACAAAATATATTTCAAAAGTTCTTTGCCAGTTGACAGGAATTTAGTACTTTTGTTTTCTGAATCACTGTTTCTGACTGAATTATATAAACAGGGTTGTTGTAACTTGTGATTTATTGATGGTAGTTAAAACATTAGATAAAAATAACATTAAGAAAAACTAAATTGCTGATACTCATGACAAGTAACTCATTGCAAGTAGAGTTTATCAGTTTTGTATGTAGTCAAAACATACACTGTTTGTAAAGTTGATTGTATAACAGATGTGATGTAAAGTATGTAACTAAATCTGAGATTTTATATTTATATACAATAGGAATAAGTGTAACTGATTTCACCCAAACTTACACAAGTTTTCTGCTCTAAACATAAAATTTCATATATAAAACAATAATTAAAATCTAGATGAGTAAGAGATTCTAAATTTCTGACAAGCATAGTAAATGATAAAACTGTGTGGTAAACACAGATGTAGTAATTACATTTAATGTGTTACTGTACAATAGAAATAAATGTGTTTGTAAGAACAATAATATTTTCTCATACTACAGTAATTTTTTTTATGAAAGCCATCTTGCCTAATTTAGACTTTTTAAACTTAGATCTTGGTTTACTGCAATGTAAATTTTTTGTGATAAAACAGTGCTTTTAAATGCATCTCATGATTTGTTTTATAAGCTGATTAATGTGTATGTTTTGTAGTTTGATTATCCTTGTTATTTAAATGTACCTATCAGAGGAGTATGATTTGTAGGAAAATAAAGAGTGGAATAATAAAACTAAATAAAGGATATATTAGAAAAAGGTTTGTATAATTTACATTCTTCACTTTTTATCTATAATATTATCATTTATTGTTAAAACAACACACTTATGATTCTGGTTAATTTCTTTTTACTAATGCAGAAAGTTTGGAAGACTGCCAGTTAAAACAGCAGAGTTGGCTTGTACGGGTTACTGTGTGTACATTTACATAAACATCATGTACAACACCGTTACACAAGATGTTAACAGTACAAGTGTAGCATGTGGTCTCATTGTACATGACCATGTACAACAGTATAGAATACTTACTCTATACTAAATTTTTTTTTTTGTGATGTAACCCACATTCAAAAACAGCTTTAACCTGGGCCTTATATCTGTTGAAATTAAGTACTGAAACGAGTTCTGTTTACCGTGCCACTATACTGAAATAAATTTTGAGAACATCACTGAAGTCTTGAACTTAGTAGGTATACAAGCCAACCTCTGATGATAATCCTGATGCTGTACAGGTAGATTTATTTTAACATGTGACCATGGACTTGGATCTCAATGGGACACATCAGAAGACATGACCCAAAGCTTCTGATTAAGCATTATCACCAGTGATTTTGATAGTTTATGTTTTGTTCAGTGTAAGAAAGAAAACTGGGCATGAATGTGAAATATTGAAGATGCAACATACATGTATTAAGGGCTTCTAGCATATATATATATATATATATATATATTCACTGTATGATCAACTCTTGTCTGTTAGGACATAAGTTAGTCTGTCTTAAAGTATGTGTCACAGATGAAACAAAACTAGATGGTTTATGTGTCACCCTGTATCTGTACTTGATAAAGTAATTTTTAAGATAATTAATGATAGCAGATTGTGATATCTTACTGAACTGAAAAAAAAAAAAGTTCATTGTTGTCTGCCACTTTATATGAGAAGTTCGGTGTATTGTTTATGTTTTGTACATACTTACTGGACATTAAGATTGAAAAACAAAAGTTTTGCAATTTTAATTATTTTGTCAGTTAGTGTTGAAGTTATAAAAACTGAAAAGAAGAATTAACTAACCTTGCTTTGAAAGTGTCTGTCAAGGTTAAATTTGAATAACCCTTAAAATATTGGATTGTAAGCTAAAGGTTATGAGAAATTATTATGCTGTTTCAAAGTATTTTTTCCAAGTGACAAGTATTTACTACTATTTTACATTGAAACTACATCCAGTTGTTGGGACATTTTTCCTTATATAAAAAACAATAACTTGCACTGAAAAATTAAAAATTTGTGGTTAAGGGAAAAGAAAGAAGAAAAAATGCAATAGGTGCTTTTGAGACTTTACTATTTTACATTTACAGAGGTTGAGTATGTTATAATTAAACAATTTTGAGTCTTTAATGAGATTTACTATTTTACATTTACAGAGGTTGAATGCGTTATATTTAAACAGTTTTGGAGCCTCACCATGTCATCACATCTAGTCATGCTCTATCTGATGACCATGCATCTTGACAATACCCTGGCATGTCTAAAGCAAACCACTCAACCCTGCTTGTTTTCCATAACCCATCTGGTATATGAATACAGCTGTTTCCCAATACCCATTTCAACATCTTGATCATCCATAGGTGGTACATCTGGCAAACTAACTGGTATTTGATAGCATGAATACCTATATTTAATTTTCAAGCTGCTTGAAGTATGTGACAGTTGAACAGGAGGTATGATTTGGAAGCCTTACTTTGGTGAACACATACTTTGTTAGCCTCATTTTCAGATGGAGATACTTGTGTTGTATACTATTACCTGTAGATGGCTTTTGCCCCTTATTTTAGAGTTTTATGATTTTCACCTGTTACAGAACTCCACACTTTGCTTACCATGACTGGAGTATGACTTGTTATACGAACCTTTCTGGATAATCCTGGTGCATGATCATATAGAAATAAAACTTCCTTTATTTATTCTTTCATTACCTACAATCTTGGATCTTATGATTATTTAAATCAATTTATCTGTATCTTTCTTTTATAAAACTAATAGAAGGCAAACACGCACCCATCAGGTCACATTCGACCCTTGTATTTTACTGTGCTATTACTGGTTACTGTAAAATGCTCACAGATTTATGAAGCCATCCTTTGAGTGAAAAACTCTCCATGACAAAATAAAATTAGGACTTGCTCACATAAAGAATACAGAGATAGAGGGTCCTCTATAAATCAATGAATATTAAAACTTGTCTACTTTTGAAGTTTTTTTGGTAGAGTATTCATGATGAAACTTAGTTGAATGGACGACAACTGCTTGTTGTAATTTTAACTGACAATGTAAGTGACATTAAAAATTCCAGAAATTGTTGTTTTTTTCCAGCTCTGCCGAGCTTAAATAAAAAATCATTTTAGAGGTGTTTTTCACACATGCGCTGTAAGTATCCAATATTTAGGTAAAAACTTTGTGTTTGTGTATGCATCTCCTTCTAAACGAGTTGACCAATTTAGACAAAACTTGGGATGCTAACTTAGCAGTCGAAAAGCAAACCAAATTCATATTAAACTTTCCCATATATTGAAATATAAAAATATTTTATCTATCATTACTGCAGTAACTACTGTAAATAGTTAAATTTGAACAAAACTTGTACCACAACACAATTCAAAGATTTGTAAATAAAGTTTTCAACATTTTAGCTATGTTTTCCATAACTAAAATATCCAGCTACAATGAGCTGGATTTTTTCTGATTCACATCATTTAACTTTCAGTTTATAATAGGGTTAGGATAAGTGCTCAAGCCTGATTTAGGGAAGTATTTCATAATTAAAAGATTTTTTAGGATATTTCTTACTTCTTGATGTAAAATATGGTCTTCCATATTCAAGATTATTGATACATTCAATGAGTTAAGTGTACCAAATTCGGACAGTAGAAATATGCTTTGAACAAGAAGTGACATTACTGCTTTGCTATTTCTGCCAAATTTCTTGGCTCGACTACTACACCTCCTCACTTCTAATCCACTTCTCGTCTTGGAGAATGAACGCTGCTGAAAATCATCACAGATATTTTGCTCAAGTTTAGCACAGTTGTACACATTTTCTGCAATTGCGAGAAAAAAAAAGTATGGAGGAGTGCATCTCAAAATAATCTGCAAAACTTTTAAGGTAAGACATTTAAAAGTCCATTGTAGACTAAGAGTTTACTTTTACTTGCGTATTTTCACCGGGTTTGTCAGGCTTTCACCAAGAGCAGAGCTGGGTATGCAATTTGTTATTCAAAAAACAAGTGAAACTGCATATCTACTTATTTATATATATGTTACTTAAAGTATAACTACAATTAAAACACAAACTTCCTTTAGACTTCGTGTTGGTAATGATGATTGTGAAACCAAAGTATTGAATTAAGATTGTTTGATGTCAGATAAGCAGTAAAATAACTGCTATGAAATATCACTATTATGGGAAAAGGACAATTTTTTTTCTGAAGTAACTAAAACATGTCAACGTACATTTCACGTAATTGGTAATATAAAAGAATATGTAGTCTAAAGATTTTCATCTGTTGCTAGATATGTATTATGTCTAAAATTTTTACTTTGAGCCCAGTAATCTTAAGATTTAAAAATATTTTCAATACCAAAATTAAGGACAACTGCATGCAGATAGTCATTGCAGCTTTAAATGAAAATTCTAAAACAAAACTTTTTATCTGTTGATTTGAAACACAAGAGCATTCCAAAATATACTGAACAGAAATGCATTTTTTTTCAATAAAAATGTTTTGGATAGTGAAAGGCTTAGTACAATATTCATATTTGTAAACTTTTGTAGTTAGAAGTTAACTGTGTTGAACTTGAAGATTTATTTTTTCTAAAACCAAAACTTTGCATTTAAAAATGTGTTTTATCATTTACTTACCTTGTAGGTGACTAAACATGTCCCCATGTTCCCCTTATTTCAGATTACTTAAAAATGTTTAAATACTAGAAAAATATCATCTAAACATTTTATTCTGTAATTATGTTTTATTTTTTTAAGGAGAAACTTTGAATGGATGCTAGTGACAAAAATTTAGTCTTCCACAACGAGCAACCTTAAAATGGTTTACAAAAATCACTCCTCTCCATAAGTGGTATGTAGCTTTTAATAACACCTATGCCCTAAAAGTTACTAAGCTAAATCCAGGTTAAGTAATTGGCACAATGGACCACCTAAAAAAGTTGTAATCTTTTCAAAACGAGACCCAAAACTCTTAAACCAATTCTCATTTGGCCAGACTTATGCTGTAATTTACTAGAACAATATAAGGCTTAATAGTTGCAAAAGAAAATGAGTTACTTGTGGCAGTAGATTTGTGTCAATGGTTTTATAGTACACTTCTTACAAACAGTTAAATTTTAACTTGTTTTCAACTTTGACTCAGTTTAGCAACTATCTTCAAAACGAGACCCAAAACTCGAACTCTTTTGAATAGCTGACTGTTCTTCTGAAGAAGATATAGTCAACTGTTAGAAAGCGCTCGAAGTATGCAAAATTTTCATCCAATTCATCTTGCCTGTTAAGTTTTATCCATCACTTAAACTATGGAATAAAGAAAAACGAGTGCAGGAGCAAAAGTAAAAATCCAAGAATCGTAGAACTTCAACTTAAATTCCAAGTTGTATTCTGTGTTTTAAGAACTTTGGTTTAGAGTCAGAACAACAAACATTCTTACACTGCATCAAAATGTTTAATACATTTCAGTTTCAAGGCTATTACTGATAGCTAAAATTAGGTCAAATGTAGCCTTCTCTTTTTAACCTGCTGTGCTGCACAAACAAGTTTTTTCAGCAGTTAATTAACAATAGTGTTAATTGCTTCCCATCAACTCTTGACACAATTTCTTTCCACGTGCTTCGAGGTACCAGGTTTTCTGGAAGACTTTTCAGATTTTCTTATGAGGAGGCCAATTCAAATCTATACACTAGACAATAAATAAATCTAAAATTAGTGTCAATTTCCTTGATTATGATATTAAGTATACTTTACAAGAAACTAGTATTAACTCAAAGTATTGCCTTTTTGGGGTTTTTTTCCATATCATTCACGATTAGTGGGGTCAACAAATTGCATTATATTAAGTAATTTTATGTTTATTTGTTACAGCATTCACTGAAGATAACAGACTAAAAAAATAGGTAATACCATTCATTGTCTGTACGAAATACACATGGAATCCCATCACCAACTAGTACAGTTAATTGCAATACTGAGGGTATTTGATGTATAAATACGTTCTGGCAAAATGTGTTTAAAAAGGCACTGGTTCTATATTGAATCCTAAATTAATTAAGTAGTTAGCTAGTATACTGTTCTGTTACTGAGTAATTTCTTTGTTTTTAGTGTACAAGCATCTTTATATCACTTAAATATATATAGCATTCTAGTTAAAACAAAAAACTGGATTAAAAACTAGAAACATAGTTTTAACTTTGTTTTACTATCTTAAACTAAGAATAATAAAGAGGACAACACCCTGATAAATGATACGCGATACAATATTTATACAGTCAGATTATTCATAACCTTATAAATATACAAGTGATCAAGTCTCAGACGGACTAACATTATGGTTATTTATACCTGTACATCCAACTCAATAATGTCAGTTTCTGCACCAAGAATACTTCCAAGGTGTGGGACAGTTCGACCAAAATCTCCATGAACAAATTCTTTTACATACCTGACAAACAGTTCAGGATAATCAATGACATTAAGAGAAAAATATGAAAAAGACTTACAACTTCAAAAGTTTCATAACAACAAGTATGTTAAAAGATACAAGTTAAACACTCAAACTGTCCAAACTAGAAATTAATCAAACACCACTGTAAAAATCCCTTGAAAAAACTAATTTTGGTATTAAGTTTATTATCGAGCCTCTTTCATCACCAAAAAATATCTGGGTTCTTATTTTGCACTGACAAAAATTGATACAATTATTTTTCTCTACGTATATAGATTTCTCGTAAATATTTATTTGAAACAATTACACCAAATAACTGGACTTGCAAGTAGTCTTACAATCTACATTACTAATCCACTGACATCAATCAATGTATGTGTATGCATAAATAGGGCTTTACTGGAACCACAAATTTATATGAGAAATACTGTGAGATATCATTTTGTCATACAATAATCTCAAATGATATTATTGAAATCTAAATATTTGTAAGAAACTTTGTGTTATGTGCAGCACTAATTACACCCGTATTAATATGTTTTCTAATAATAACTACAGTTTTCATACAAAGATACGTTCCTGCTTGGGTTGAGAGATTGAGTTGAAACCTATGCTCATCCATCTTTTCTGCCAACATTTCATAAATTACTCTTTCTCTTACTGCAAGAGGCCGTCTGGAAAACAAACAAAAATCCTGGTTATAATTCATGACAATAAGAACTTTCAAGTTAAGTGAGTGTAAACTAATACACAAGAAAAAGTCATTACACAAAGTGCAAAGTATAAACAATGCCTTAAGTAAAGATATCTAAAAAGCTTCACTGACAGAAGTTCAAAGGTAAACGTTAAATTGTTCAGTTTACAACAATAATAACTGTTGAGCTTTGTGTATGTTTATTCAATAACATTACACGAGTGAGCTCGAAGCTATGGTGATACCGTTGTTTTTTGTTTTCATGCTCTTTTATATCATTTCAAAACATAACAAATAACTCGGGTAATAAACTCACAAATATACAATCTGAAAATTTGATAAATTAAGTAAAAACATTTATTTATGTTAATGTTTTTGAAACCCCTATATTAATTATATCTGACCCATTTAAAGAATATACAAACCTGTGAAGGACTCTGAGAGGTGTTTTTTGTTGAATTTTTACATTTTTAAGCCCTGTCAATTGTTCAATATCATCCTTTGTCAAAGGCCTATTCATGATGCACACTGCAGAATACATCTTCCGTTTTTCTTCTTCTCCCTCCTTCAACATATGGATGTCTTCTCTAAATAAATCAGCATGTTTCAATAGGTTAGTTCTACCTTATCTATCTATTAGGCTTAAATCGGGGAAAATTTTAAAGCGATTCTTCCATATTTTAATATTCTATAAGACTTATGTTATTATACTTCATATTATGTGAACGGTGTAGTATTTAATGACATTACCCTAAACACCTATACAAACTACTGTTAAAGAGACAAAACAACTAAATAAAATAAATAAAAAAGTACATTTTTAAATACCTCATGTTCCTTTATTACTAAGACAACTTTCATGGTTAGAGGAAAATAATGATTTTTTTGTTGTTTATAAGCTTGATGTAACTAACTACTCTGTTAAAAAAATTATGAGAGATAAACTTGATAAAATGTTTTAAACGTAAAATACAAGCAACATACAATGTCAGTTTTGCACAGTACTATATTTATAAATACATTAAATAAATGAGTTATTCTGGCTGTTTTTATAACAGAAAAATATTTAAAATTCATACATTTTTGTAAACAGTTTTTTTTTGGCAAGTCTGGAAATATACCAACAGTATTTTTTCAAACAGAAAGCATGTAATTACTCTTCTTTATTGTTTTCTACCTGAAAGAACACAAGATTTAGTTAAGTAAAAATTCATTTTGGTTTAACTTTAAATGTTTTGTTTTCAAATTTCGTGCAAAGCTACCTGTACTAACTATTCCTAATTTAGAAGTGATAGACAAGAGGGAAAAACAGCTATTCAACACCACCCACTGCTAACTCCTGGGCCACTCTTGTTTTTTTTTAACAAAAAGTGGTACTAACCATAACATTATAGCACCTCCATGGTTGAAAGAGTAAGCATGTTTGGTGACAGGATTTAAAGGTGCAACCCATAGATTGCAAGTCAAGCACCCTAACCAGCAGGCTTGATTTTTATGTTATGTACGAGTTAAGATAATATCACAATTTCTGTACCTCATACTATGACCCTCGCTTTCAGAAGTTCTGTGTTCATAAAATGCATCATTCTAAATGATCCCAACAACAGCTTTACCTGTACAGCCCATTTATCCTTCATTAATTTATCTCATTGCCTACAATTAGTAAAATGTGTCTTTCTCAATCCTGTACTGATTGTTCCCATTACCTTCACAACATATTACAGTCTTGTGCATTTTCTTTAAAATATTAATAACAACTCATTAGTATTATGGTACTGTAACTGTTTCAGATCTGTATTTGTACATTTACAAGCTTACCATGAAGTGATAGGTAACTTTTACATTAAAAATTGCTGTTTTCAGTTTTCTTGTTGTTATTAAAGATGTTATTTCATTTTAAAGTTTGTTGACAAGAAATAGTTTTAACTGCATACCTTGAACTTAACAAAAATGTTAGTATGCCACTTAAAGTCACGTCATTCTTTCATTTATTGTACATGAAAAGTCTTAATCCGTCAAGTCTGAATTCCAATTAAAAATACCAAATCATTAACTTCACTCACTTCCTCACGTCTTGCAAGTCTCTCACAGCTATTTCGTTGGTACTCTCATTAATAGTCTACCAAAAGTGATAACAAAGAGTTCATTAAATACGTTAGTCACAATAGAAAAAAAGTTCATTACATTCTTAGATTAACAAAGAGTTAATTAAAGACATTAGTCACAATAGAAAAAAGTTCATTACATTCTTAATCGTGATAATTCATTCATTCCATTCTTTAGTTACTTGGAGACTTAACTGAAATTATTTAAAATATTTATCTCTCTCATATATTGTATTCAAACAATAAATTCAATTTTCTAAATAATCCCTTGAGAATTTTCTTTTTTTAGATCTTTTTTCGAAGACAGACAACAGTTCACACCAAAAAAATAAGAATGAAAACAAGAAAATGTATTTTCTGTGCTAACAAACTATCCATAGATCCTTGTCTAGGCTTTAGATATATTAGCAAGATAAACACAAATTTTGCTTGGTCCTATTATCAATATAAATATATTTTTACATAATAAATAATTTTTAAAAGAATGTGTTAGTAGATGATACTAGGCATACTGTAATAAGAATTTTTCAATATCAGTTTTAATATTTATTTTAGTGAAACAAATTGCACAATTTCAGAGGATACTTCTATATTTACTGTGATGCTTAATATACAAGTAAAACAGTAAACGAACTTCTTCAATTTTGTTTATGAACTCTTGGCTAACATCTCTGGACCGTGGGTTTAGCAGTTCAAGAACAAATGGCCTACCTAAAATAAGAAGAAAAGTCTCAGTGAAGTGTTATGCTTAATTTTATCAGAACTTTTTACATTTGATAATTCAAGACAAATTCTGACATTATGTGATTCTAATATGGGGTTGGAATTTTAGTACTGGTGCATCAAGACAAGTTCAGAAAAAAAAACCTGTCTAACCATCAGTCAGGATTTCACTTCCAAGAAACCACCGATTTTCTCAATGATGTTATCTCATTATTTATCTTGTGTACATGATTGCCATGTGATCCATTTCCAAGGAGGACATATTTTTACACGTTTTAAAACTGGTCTCTTTAAACTATCCTAAAGTACAAATTGTAAAAACTTGTAAAGATTTTAGAATCACCTTTTCAAGTGTCAGCTTTTGGCTAGTGGCTCACAAGATTCTATGAAAAACATTTATAACAACTTACAAATTCCGTCTTAAATGTACTTCCTTTTCCAAATTAAAAGTTTATTACATTTTAATTTTTTTTATCAAGGCATCATTTAATCTAGTCTATACTTCCTGGCTTTAATAGACAAAGAACAACTATAAAGGCTTTACTCTTTTTTTTATTATTTGGCTAGTTTACAACTTTAATTTTCCATGTGGGGGTCCATATGGACCTCATGCTAGTATTAAAGAATTAGACATTAATCATTAGGTTTATTTTTTTTAATTATCACAGGTATTTTGCTTAAAATAATCCATACAGACAAACTCACATTGGACATATACATTTGTTTGGTATTTCAGTAACAAAAGAGTTCAATAATATAATGACTTTCTTACTGTGTAAATAAGTTTTATCAAAGTTATGCTGAAGGCCCTTTGTACACTTCAGTTTGTTAGAGTTCTTGTCTTTCCCTCAGTTATGTACATTTTAATTTAATACAAGGGGCATCTGGTTCTGCAAGTTGTCATCCATTGTTTATATCAGCTTACTAAGTCAAAAGTTGTCATCCATTGTTTATATCAGCTTACTAAGTCAAAAGTTGTCATCCATTGTTTATATCAGCTTACTAAGTCAAAAGTTATGTTATCATCCATTGTTTACACCAGTTTACAAAGTTAAAAGTTGTCATCCTCTTAGCAAATGTTGTCGTCTTGTTTATAACCCTTTACTAAGTCAAATAACAGTTTACAAAGTCAAAAGTTGTCATCCTGTTAGTACCAGTTTAGAAAGTCAAAAATTGGTTCATAACAACAGAAAAAAAACTTAATCTGAATCTATATTACTTTCACTGTGTATTAAAAAGCTAATTCTATCAAATCATAAATTAATATTACTCATTAAAACTTCATAAGTAAGGAAGAAATACTTGCAGCTGTGTATATTATTATTATTACTAAATTTCACAACTGTTGATAACAGGTCTAGAAAAATAACAACATTTCAGAGATTTAAAGATCTTTACCAACAGCCTCTTCTCCAAAAATTATTACTTCAACATCCTTTCATCCCATTAAAAATACCTAGTTAGAAACACAACAAAGTATACAAAACTAGGCAACAAATATTTTCCTACCTTCTCCAAGCATTCTGACATCTACATCCTCTCGTCCAGAGGAAGAAAACACGATTTCTATTTAAAAACACAATAAAATTAAAATTAAAGTACATAATGTTTACATTAAGTTTAAATTTTGTAATTTCAGACTCGTGTGTGAACTGAGCATATATCATTATACACAGCTTTCTAAAGAGATCTTATTTCTATGAGAAAATCACAAATTTCTAAAGTGTATTAGAATTTTATACAAAAGAAAATCAACTCTTTGTTAAGGATCTCATCGTAGTTAAAACTTTGAGTTTTCTTTAGAAACCTCCCAACTAAGAAAAAACTAAAACTTAAGCATTTAGGGTCATAGGAATTACTAACTGACTAACAACAAAGAAAGATTATTTACTTACTATCTGCTACGATGAATTTGTTCACCACATCAACTATTAAATCTTGAACAGAAGTTTCCATTTTCTTTTCACCTTCAATTAACCATGGTGTTTGGCAGAGTTCACGAGAGTATTTGTTGTATCGACCTACATGACAAACTGACGTTAGACCAGTTTCCAGCATATTTTATAGTAACCAGTATCTGTTAGATGTTATAAATAATGATTTAGACTGTTACATGAAGATTTAAATTTATTCTTCCTTTTAATAAAATTGCACTAATCCTTTCTCAGTGTACTTTATAAAATTAATTAAGATTTTCTTATTACTGCAATAAGTTATTGTGTATAACACCCAGTCTGCAAGTTAAAGAGACATGTTTGATAGGTTAATTCCCAAACAAAGCTTGAAATTATCGTAATGTTGTGAAATAGAAGATTTGGTTCCTCAGCTTTATAAACTCTATAAAAACCACTTTCTCTGCAGTTATCATCAGTTCTGTCAATAGAGAGAGCCAAGAAAGGCATATCCAGTCATCATCTTTGTTGTGATAGTTTCTGCTTGGAATCACAAACAAATACTCACCAAGTCGAGTGTTAAGGATGATATAGTAGTAGTATTAATAGCTGTGGCAGAGGTAGATGTAACAGCAGTAATAGTGACAGTAGCAGTAGGACAGCATCACCAGCATGGAAGGAAGGAATGTAGACCAATCAATAGTTTTAGACCAAGGCCAATCTAATATTGATAAGCACTTTATATTTGACCAATCATGGCACGTCAACATGAATACTAATATTTTGAGCTAAAGAAATGAGTATGGACAAATCACTAACACCACTGAGAGATATCTTGTGGTCAGAGAGCTAACGGATCAAGCTCTTTATTAGGACATATTTTGTTTGGTACTAACTTGTATACTAAACCCCCCTTTAGCCCAACTTATCCCCCAAATTCGTTTCATCAATTTTTGGACTAGGTGTCAAATGTAAAGATATTTCAATCATGACATTTAAAATAATAGCTTACAATTGTAGGTGGATGTACAAGATTTAAGATTCAGCATAAAGAGACTTTCAAATATCCTTTGAATTATACAAAACTTCATTGTTTTTGCAACACAAGTTTTGAAATTGCTTCCTGTACTGGATTAGATAGCTGCAAGAACTTTGACAATTAGTTGCATAGTAAATTAAGCCAGAGAGTTGAAAACCACTTTGTCTAGGTTGTATCTCCTGCCATACATAGCAATGCTTTTTTCCTTCTTTAAGTGAGTATAATCACTTAACAATTAGCAAATAGATTTCAATAAGGTTTCAACTGAAGGTTAACCTTTGGGTATAAGTAATCATCTGGTGACTGACAAGTAAAATGTAAAGAAATCCCAGCTGATTGTCAGTAGTTTAATCCTCTAGATGAGGACGAATATTATATTATCATCATATAAAATCTGCAATTAAGAAACCAGATAATTATGAAAGGCTTAAAACTAAGATTTCATTTAATCCTTGGGATAAGGATAATGATTAAATAATCACAAAGTCTACTACAAGGAACCCAACTAGATGTGAGAGGCTTAGCTTAGATTTAGTCTAATACTCGGGGTAAGGAACAACAGCATATTATTATAAAGTACAGCCTAATATAAAGAACCAAGCTAGTTGTGAAAGGCTTAGATTTAGTTTAATTTAATCTTTATTTAATTGACTTGAAAAACATTGTGACAAGCATTCAGTTTTCTCTTTGTGATAGTTTTGTTAGGCAACAGACAGCCCATTATTTATTATTCATGAAAAGTCTACCTTCAGAGGATTAATTCAGGAATGAGTTTCAGCACATTTGTATTTTTGAATACTTCAGTTGCTTCTTTGCTAATGTCCTTTTGGTTTATATTATCCGTATTGTAAAATCAAAATTTGACTTAAATGCAGTCCACTTTACCTGCTAAGTATAACGGAGAATGTGTACAACTTATATTTTCATACTGGCAAGGAAATGCTGTTACTTGAGGAGGAAATGTGGAATTCCTGTAGCAAGATAATCAGTAAAAAAGAAGAAAAAGGTCATTAAATAGTATTTATAAATATTAAAAATAAGCAAATATCTTTTGTAAAGAAATGCCAAATCAATTGCACAATTTACAAATAACAAAGATAAACATATCTATAGATGAAGCTTAATCTTTTAACCCTCATCAGCACACCTGGGGTCCAAATGGACTCCAATGACTTTCTCGATTGTGTATCTTTTTACATAATCATTATAAATTTATATCAATTTATGTAACTGTCAAGCAGATACACTGGATCAATACGATACTACTGTTTGTGAAACAGGCAGATGGAGTAAGTAGCTGTAATTTAATATTTATCTGGGGTCCACGTGGACCCCATACTATCATTGACTACCACTATATATGCAGTTCACCCTATAGCATACGAAACAAATTTCTAATGATCTATTTCACTATATAGGCTGTTGTAGAGGTTAATTCATTAAAGTAGTACAGTATCATCATGTCTGTTTACTTATAAAATAATTACCAGGATCTGAACTGACACTCCACTACTATTGCCAAATATATCTCAGCTGCAGAAACTATTAGTTGTTACATACCAGTGATGATAACTCATTCAGTACATAAGAGGCAGAAGGCAGTGACTGTGTTGGTGCAGTTGAAGATATATCAGAGGTAGAGGATCATGTGACAGAAGAGTCATTCTCCGAGGATGATGGCATAGATCAATTCAATGTAGCACAGAGCGTACAAAGGAGAGGAGTGGCACAACAGAGTGTTAGAGAACAAAAAGGATTTTACCCAGATGTCAAGTGACGTGGATGAACACAAGATGATCCTTCAACATCAAGAGGCAGGGGAAGAGGACGTACTGGAGGTTGAGGAAAAGTGACACAAAGAGCAGAGACAAGTAGCAGAAACTGGGCATGAGGGAGTAGACAGCACAAGTAGCGGAACTGAACAAATGAAGGCCAGGTCTAGTAAAGTGTGAAATCATAATCCTTATGCAGTACACAGTCAAGGCCCACAGGATATAATCAGATATTCACCTGGTGTCACTCAGGTAGGACAAGTGAATAACATAAAAACTGTACCTTAATGAAAATATATTTAGCATTATAATCAGAGAAACAAATCATGAAGCTGCCAGGGTTTATAAACAGTGGAATGAACAACCAATTACCACAACTGAAATCAAGACCTTTATATGACTGTTTTTGTTGGCTGGACTCTACAAATCTAAAAATGAGCCCTAAAGAAACTTTGGGCATCCACAACAGGGATACACATTTTCTGGGCTACAATGAGCCTCAACAGATTCAAATCTTTGCTTCGATTCACAATAAGTACACAAGAGCAGAACAGAGATCAACAGACAAATTAACAGCCTCTATGTGGACACTTTTCTTGGCACAATTCGATGTTCCCAGCACTGATATTACAGTTGATGAACCATTAGTTCCATTTGCATGCGGATGTCCATTTCACCAGTTATATGAAAAGCAAACCAGCTAAATATTGAATAAAGGCATGGTGAAATTGTGAATCTTGGATGAGCTATCCCCTGTAAGGACAAGTGTATTTCGGCAAACAAACAAATGAACAATGTGACGTGAATCAAGGTGCTAGAGTTGTGTATGATTCAGTGGATCCATATTACAACAGTGGGTAAAATATAAATGAAGATAATTTGTTCTCCAGTGTACCTCTTGTGGAAGAGCTCCTCACACATCAATGAACCTGCAGCAGCAATTTACTGATTGTGATAAGCATGTATGCGTATGTCATTCCTCAACAAGTGTTCTCTCTGATGGTTGCTTATAATGCTCTATTTCATAGAAACCTGGTTTGATAATTGTTGTAAATAACCTAAATGTGTGTTGGGGTCTGGTTGGACTCAAGGTATACCTGTTGCAGAAAAGCTCCTCACACATCAATTGACCTATGTTGGAACAAGCCAGATATTCCAGAGGAAATAAAACCAAGCAATCAGCAGGTGGTAAACTCCTTTGTAGTTGAATTTTCTGGACAACTTTCTCTAGTATCATACATGCTAAATAAGAGACAAGCAGTTGTACTATTGTCATTCATGCATCATGATGATGCTGTGGAAGGTGAACATGCAAAGCCAGAGATTATAACCCACTACAGTGCAAACAAACAGGGAGTGGATAACATGGATCATCTGGTAGGAAGATATTCAGTAAAATGGTATTATTTTTCAATTTACTGGATATAGCTTGCATTGCAGCTTGTTACGTATAATTACCAATAAGCCCAAATGGATGTCTAACAAACCGAAAAGTCACCGCTGAGAGATCTTACGACACCTTGGCGAGAGCTCGACACAATCCCATATACAGCAAAGGATTCAGAATCCAGGTTCCCTCCAAAGAAGAGTCAAAACTGCACTGGTAGATTTAGGTATGCTGATGAACCAGTACAACAGCATGCTGCAAGCAGTTACCAGTAGGCAAGCACAGATATTACATGAGCTCCTTAGAGACTGACAGGAAAGTATGACAGCAGTTTACTGGTTGTGTTGCGTCAAACGTGCCACATGTGGATATGCATTGTTGTGGAGAAGAACAACAACAACTTTCCAATTGACAAGTGAAGGGCATTTAAACGTTCCAGTTGCTGACAAAAGATCTGTGCATTGACAGTTCACTGTAGATTGAAAAGTTCGAAATGAATTATTCCTTTGATGTCCCACCAAATGCAAAGCATCATTTTCTGCAGATGGATTCCAGGTTTTGGGGTCGGAAAAGGTTTTTGTCTAGGACTGAGTCATTGTTTTTGGGGTTTAATATTCGCATAGAGAATCTATTTTCATCACTGGTGACAATTCTGTCCAAAATGGTTCATGTGCATTACGCACCATAAGAGACGAGGCAAAGTTCAC